TGTATTACACTATGAAAAAGGGGTGATTATTGATGTATTTTTGTATTTTTTTTAATGTGCAATTTGAGACTTTTAAAGTAGGTTTATGTAGTGAGGTCTTTGAGCAATCAGCCTCTGAAGTCTCTGTCCATCTCAACAAGCTAGAGATCTTGATCATGGGACTTGATGAGGTGCATCCGCGGGTTCTGAGGGAGCTGGCAGATGAAGTTGCTGAGTCATTGTCCATCGATTCTGGGGAGTCATGGCAGTCTGGTGAAGCTCCCACTGACTGGAAGAGGGGAAACATAGCCCTCATTTTTAAAAAGGGAGAACAGAAAGACCTGGGGAACTACAGGCCAGTCAGTCGCACCTCTGTGCCCAGCAAGATCATGGAGCAAATCTCCTTACACCCAGGATGGCTTCTCTAAGGGCGAGTCACGCCTGACAAATTTGGTGGAAGGAAGGGCAGAAGGGCAAATGATGTCATCTATCTGGACTTGTGCAAAGCATTTGACACAGTCCCGCATGACATCCTTGTCTCTAAACTGGAGAGACATGGATTTGAAGGATAGACCACTTGGTGGATAAGGAATTGGCTGCATGGTCTCACTCAAAGGGTTGCGGTCAATGACTCAATGTCCAAGTGGAGACCAGTGGTGTTCCTCAGGGGTTGGTATTGGGGCTGATGCTGTTTAACCTCTTTGTTGGTGACATGGACAGTGGGATCGAGTGCACCCTCAGCAGGTTTGCTGATGACACCAAGCTGTGTGGTGTGGTCAACACTCTGGAGGGAAGGGATGCCATCCAGCAGGAGCTGGACAGGCTGGAGAGGTGGGCCTGTGAGAACCTCATGAAGTTCAAAAAGGCCAAGTGCAAGGTCCTGCATGTGGGTCGGGGCAATCCCAAGCACAAGTAGAGGCTGGGTGGAGAATGGGTTGAGAGCAGCCCTGAGGAGAAGGACTTGGGAGTGCTGGTGGATGAGAAGCTCAACATGAGCCGGCAATGTGCGCTGGCAGCCCAGAAAACCAACCGTGTCCTGGGCTGCATCCAAAGCAGCGTGGGCAGCAGGTTGAGGAAGGTGATCCTCCCTTCTGCTCTCTCTTGTGAGACCCCCCCTGCAGTGCTGCGTTTAGCTCTGGGGCCCCCAGCATAAGAAGGACATGGAGCTGTTGGAGCAATTCCAGAGGAGGCCACGAAGATGATCTGAGGGCTGGAGCACCTCTGCTATGGAGACAGGCTGAGAGAGTTGGGGATGTTCAGCCTGGAGAAGAGGAGGCTCCAGGGAGACCTTCTAGCAGCCTCCCAGTACCTAAAGGGGCCTAAAAGAAAGCTGGAGAGGGGCTTTCACAAGGGCATGTAGTGATAGGACAAGGGGCAATGGCTTTAAACTGAAAGAGGGCAGGTTTAGATTAGATATAAGGAAGAAATTCTTCCCTCTGAGGGTGGTGAGGTACTGGAACAGGTTGCCCAGAGAAGTTGTGGCTGCCCCATCCCTGGAGGTGTTCAAGGGGGCCGGTTGGATGGGGGTTTGAGCAACTTGGTCTAGTGTAAGTTGTCCCTGCCCATGGCAGGGAGGTTGGAACTGGATGATCTTTAAGGTGCCTTCCAACCCAAACAGTTCTGTGATTGTTACCAGAAATCCGAAAACGTGGATCTTCCGCGTAAAGGAACATCAGCTCTTTTTTTCAAGATAGTATTTAAGATGCAAAAGCAGCAACCCCCCCCCACCCAAAAAAAAAAAAAAAGTAAATTGGGTTACACATAGAAATCAAGCTATTTAAGTTTTACTTGGTAAGGTCCAAATGTGTTTTCTGCTCGCAGTGTGATTCATGTCCTGACCAATAAGAGTTGGCTGAGGCTTTCAGTACTTATCTTGGAAGCCTACAAAATGGTGACATCACATTGCAATTAGCAGGCAATTTAAAGACATTTAAACAATTATATCACATTTTCAGCCCCACTAATTGGCACCACAGCTGTTTTCTTTGCCTCCTTTTTTTGGAACAGTGGCCGCAGGGTATTAACTCATGGGGGAAAACAGTAAAGAATTTAAAAAGTGTGCAGACACCAGTGGTTTGGAGAAGAGCCAAGCTGTAAGGTTCTGTGTTAAGGGTGTTGCAAGACAGCTATGTTTAGTACAGAGCTGAAGGGGAGGCATGAAGAAAATACCATTTCTGTGATCTTAGGTGGCAGGTCACTGACTGGGAAAGGTCTTGTCACAAAAATAGCAATAAATGCATTAATGCTAATCCGTTCTCTCCTGATGTCTTGGGATAGGGCTGTTTTAAGAGGGCTTGTTATTGTGTTGTTCCAGTTGCATGGTATGTATTTAAAAGTTAAGAGTCATGGCCAAGAACGTCTAAAGGCAGAATCGTGGGTTTAGCCTCTTGTGATGATGGTGGAGCCAAGCGTGCCCACGGGTAGCTGATGTTCTAGAACAATATTTTTTAAGACACGAGTCATCTAGGTGTTTACTGGCAGAGGAGCACAGCCCTGCGTACTGAAGCCAAGCCTGTTGACAAAAGACTTGCTTTTCCAAGTTGCCCTTAAGAGATCACTGTGGGCTGTGAACTAGAAGTAGTTCAAGACAGCTCTCCCCTTATGGATCCGGAGTCAATGAACCACGAGTTGGAATTCATGGGAGTGCCTCTGGGAAAATAGAAAGCTGTAAGTGAAAGGTGTGTAATACAGCCCGGTGCAGTACCGCGTAGGAAAGGAGTGGCTGCAGTCACTGGTTTAATGTCTGTGAAAAGTGAACAGCAGCCAACTCCACTCCCGTGCATGTGATGCAAACAGTGTTGCTGCAGCTCTTTGCACTCTTGTACAGTCTGGAGGGCTGTAGCATCCTTGGAAACCAGAAGAAGTGAAAGAATCTCTCTTTGGAGTCTCGCAGGCGGGAGGGAAGGAAGCTGGGGAGTTTTACAAGGAGGTAGAGGATTCCCAGCAGAGCTTTGGATCCCTCACTGTTAAGAGAGTTAACTCTCTCTAGTCACCACTTTGTATTTCTTCTCTGGATCCTACTTGTATTATAAGTTTTCCTAAATCTTCACCACCTTCCACGGACTATAGTTTACTACTTACCTGCCTTTAGTCTTTCCTTCACCGTCCTTTCGGAGTATACAGAAAGCTTCCCTGAATTCCAGTAAATATGAGATCGTAGTGCAAGGAGAAGGCAGATTGGGACTCCTGCAGTGCAACATCCTGTACCCATCAGTAGGACTTCAAAGCAGCATCTGGCAGGCTCAGGGGATGCTTTTGTCCATTTGTCTAACACATGGATGTAACCTGTCCATGTGCCGTTACAAGGTAACCGTCAGTCTGTGGTACACAAGAAAGGTGAGGGGGTTCAGAGAGGGTCTGACCTCTGCAGTCAGGGCATCTCTGGTTTCCACAGTGTTCTCTGTTTAAAGGGACCTTCCTAGTTGTCCCAAAAAAGCCTCTTGCAGGAGACTTCCAAGTTACAACCTTACTGTCATCTGTATTCAGATGTATATTGAGGACCTTGATGTCTCCTCCCTTTGGGGAAAAAAAAAAAGTAATCTGTGGTAAAGTGTCCTCTGGAACAGAAGTGTCTTCTAATCTTCTCTCTCAAGTGTTGGCATCTCCCAGGCAACTGCTGACTTTTTTTTTTGGTCACCAGGAAAGGGTCTTCAGATAGGCAGCATGCATTTTAAAAAGTTTATGGGTTTTTTTAAGTTTTTTCTCGATTCCAGTATTTTGCTTAAACACAAAGCATTCCTTTATAAAGTGAGCTATTTGATAGTGACCGTCATCTCCATCCTGATGTTGTGGCAGAAGTTTTTAAGGGAAAGACCGTAGTACGTCCAGCCCCTGCTATGTGAGGTTGCATGTTGTCCTTTCTTGTGGTTTTGATACGTATCTTGATGTGGATATGTTTCTGAAATAGATTTTGATGAATGAGATATCTTCTAAAGCGGAGTGTTCTAGGGTAGTTAGACTTCTTCCTGAGGCGGTGGGTTTTTCCTTGTAGTTTGTCTCAAGTTTAGACCTTTTTTTTTTTCCAAACCCTTACTTTTTCTTTCTCTCAACAAGGAGATAAGAGAAATGTGATAAAGTTTTTGAAACAAAATGGAAAACAAAGTCATTATGAAGAACTGAACTTGTAGTCTCCAAAATAACATTTTAGCAGTAGAAAAACACATGAAAAATAAAGAGTTCTTTATTTTTACTTTCCTCCAAAAATCAGCATTTCCTCAATGAAAAACAGCCCAGTTTTGAGTAGCAGTGACAGGTATCAATGCAGCTGCTGTGCTGGTGATGTTCCAGCAGTTCAGGGTCCACAGGGCAGTGTAAGATGGTTCCAGAAATCAGTACCAAAATGAAGATCTCTGCATGCATACTTCGATGTACAGCCTCTAGACTTGTCAGTAAAACCCCTTGGCCTGTGATACAGAGGTGACATTTAGAAGAGTGGTATATGTGGAGAGCAGGACTGTGGCACATTGGAGTCTTGAAATCCAGCAGCTGCTGCGCTATTTGGGTTTACCAAAGCCCAGGGACTGTTTTTGTCTGTGATACTTAAGCTAGCTGTGACAGTCTAATGACAGTCCTGCAACCTCCTGCCCTCCTGGTTGTCCCTCTCCTGCTTCGTCCCTGGGAAGGGAAGCCTCGGCTTGGAGCTAGATGCTTTCTGAACTTCTCCTGCCCCGTATTTCCTCTGAAGTTGAGTGCAGCATCTGTCATTCTTTCTTTACGATCTGCCTTTCCAAAAATTAGACATGAGACATTTTCAGGATGTACAGCTGTCAGCAAGTGTAACATGACATTTGCCCTTACCCAGCAGGAGGAACTCAGTAGCCCTCCCTAAGGCTGGTGAGGGACACCACTTGTTGACAGTGGTGAGACATTTGCCATGATGGAATTCTTTGATTTTTGGATTCAGTTAGAGATTCTAACTGATGTGCATGTTTCTCCCCATTAGCTCATGCAGCTCATGTGACTTGTTTCATTCATGTGACCTCTTATTATGTATCCATCATTCCATTTTTCTTTCCTATTAGAGTGAAATTGGACACAGCCCTCCTCCTGCCTACACCCCTATGTTGGGAGTAAGTATTGCACATTCAAACTTCCTTTAGGTTTTCCTCCTTTCTTCACCAAGTATTTTCTCTTTCAAAGCCCCTTTTCCTGTGTAAATGGCCCAAAAGCCAACAGTGAATCAAGTGTGTGTATATAAGCAGTCAAATAGTCAGCATCTCAACACTCAGCCTGGATTCGTGTGCAAACTCTGTGGACCCACACCCACAATTCTGCCAACTGCCAGCTTTTCTTGAAAAGGCGTTTAGGTAACAGACTTGGATGATTCTGTAGAGTTTTCCTTCCTGTTTGTAGGTCACAATGTTGAAATTTCCTTGCACGCCGTTGCTGACAAGCAGCGCGGTAGGTTGAGTTGAACCATTGAGTTGAGGTACCAGTACAAACACTGTTTGCCAGCGTTAAACACACTACCTGGTGGTATTAGGTAGTGTTTGGGTGACTATGTGATTGCCACTGCAGGACACCCTAACAGGAATAAACAGAGTTCAGAGATGATAATGTCCCCTATCCCCAGTCCCCTGTGCAGAAGGAGATTTCCCTAAGGTGAGGTTTAAGGGGTTTGTTCAGAAGTCAGCCACGGTAATAGAAGAGGGGATACCGTGTTTGCCTCTTCCGGCTGTGTATATCCAACCTCCACGTGTCTAATAGGAACCAAGTTTTCCTGCTCTGTTTCTAGCCCCATTTCCAGCCCTGAGCAGCTGGCTTGCTTCCCCACTCCCCTTGCTGCAGCGATGGTGCCTCCCTGGGGGGGAAGCCGACTCAGCACCACCGGGGCAGATGGATGGTTTGCTGCTCCACAACAGAGCTGCCGATCCCACAGCTCTGGAAACACGGTAGTCTGCAGGAGAGACGAGGCTTCACCTACCTGGTCAAATGCATCATTGAGCAAGCGTGGCAGGGAAGGAGAGATGACCTGGTGTTGAATCTTCTCTGCCTTCGGAGCCTCCTTTCTCACGCTGCCTTTTCTTTTTCCACAGAACCAGTTTGTGTACAGAGATGGAGGCTATGCCGCAGAAGTGCCGATGCCGTACAGAGCTCCTGGCTGCGCAATACCAGAAGCCCCAGTTGCTCAAGGGGCCGCAGCAGAGATCTTTGAAGATACTTGCTGTAATGGCACAATACGAAAACAAGTGGCAACCCTGGCAAAAGAGGACAGCAGCACCCAGAGGTACAGCGCTGATCCCACGGTCTTCATACCCGAGCGGGTAGTCCGGGGAGAGCTGGATGAGGACGGGTACATGACGCCGATGCGAGACAAACCTAAAACAGGTAAAAAAATTGGCTTTCCGGAGAAGCTCTTGCTCTAGTCCGACTGCATTCTGTCGTTTTCTGCATCAGCAGCTTTTCACCAAAAATGGCTTTATTGAATAACCCAGCAAGGTTGAAACATTCTGACTTTGCTTAATATTTCTTTGCATGGGGATTCATTTTTCTTTGCTTAATTTGCTACTTAGAAAAGCTCAAACGTGCCAAAATGTGAAGTTTGGTAATTCCTCCTTTAACTTTTCTTTCTGGGAAATAACAAAAGAGAGGAATGAAAAAACCCAAACCTCCTCCTTATCCAAACACAAATCTTTGGTTATTTCCAAGAAAAGCATCTATCTTTGGCCAGCCGTAGTCTCTGCTTTGCTTTGTTTATTGATCTTCTTTGTCTTCGTGGCATTGTGCTTGGTAAATGTCATGTTAAACATACCACAGAACCGATACACACAGTTGGCATTTTATACCCAAGAGAAGTCTAGGATTGAAAGAAGATGATGTGCTTCAGAGAGACCATCGATGCAAGGTGAAGTTTGCCTAGATCTGTGCCAGCTCAGAGTGCTGCGCTTCCCAGTTTGCCGTCATTCGTTTCCTCCTTTTTAAATAGTGACAGCAGTCATTTAGATGTAAGGGGATGTGTCATTAGTATTTTGCTTTCAGACCTTTGCATTAGCTTGCAAGAAATCAATTAATGCAAATGTAAATGCCAGGTAACTACTGGGTTTGCTTCGGAATTTGGAAGCCACTTACCCTTTGTGTTAGTGGTGGAAACGGAGGGAGTCCTGGGGCTGGACCCAAACCAGTAGCAATTTTGAGAGTGCACTCGTGACCCTGCTCTTCAGATTTGATGCTGTGAGTTTGCTTCAGTGTGAGCCCACATGTATCTTCACATGCAGGTTCGCCCTGGGGAGCCTCCGAGTTCTGCAGGAGCTTAACACTTCACAGGTGCTACCTGAGCCCTCAGGGATGCTCAGGAGAAAGCACCTCCTTCCTGTCTCAGCGGGTACAGACACAGGGATGTCACAGTGTGGCCATGGACGCTGCATGCTCTCTGTCAGCTGGGGAATTCAAATCAAAGCACTGCTTGGCTGTCATTGCTAAAAAAAAAAGTGTGTTCCCACTGTGCTCTTGGTGCGGGTGCATGCGCCTGTTCGCCTCAGATGCAGCAAAGTTTCAGCTGTGTGGCCAGAGGTACTTGCTAAGTCTGGAACTTTTGCATTTAATAGTTTTGGCCCCGGCCTGGATAAAAAGTGACCTGAAGTGAGGACCAAAGCCATCCTCTTGTAGCAGGCAGGGGCCTGTTTCCTCACAGGCAGGGCTCCGAGCGGAGGTGTCTCCAGAGGCCATGATCAGAGCCATGCCACTGGAAATGGAGGTCGTGAGTTGGCATCCCTGTGTGGCACAGGCAGCCTGAGGCCTCATTCCTCACTAGTGGTGGTGGCTTGGAGACCCGGTTCTGTAGGGATCCTCCAGGCTGTGAGACAACAGGCAGAATTAATACTGGAAGTGGGTTTGGTCTGATGATTTCTAGCCCCGAATGAACTGGATGCTTTCGACGTATCTTGCTGCAGGGGTCCCACTTCCAAGCCCTCTTGTCCCCGGCTCACCTCCAGGCCGTTCCTTTTGCAGCCCACTTTCAGTGTCAGCGACCTGCCCCTGCCCAGGTGGATCAGCTTTCTGTTTCTGGTTACACACAGCACAGCAGTGAAGGACACTCAATGGGAGTCCTTGGGAGACACCTTACAAAGCGTGGGGTTTTAACTTGGGACAGCCAGGCTCTTCGTGTTTCTCTTCCCTCCCCACCCCCTGGCTAGCTTTCCACGCAAGCTCCATAGGCCTTAAAAGCTTTCTGCAATTCAGCTACGATTTTTTGTGGTCTTAGTCCACGGAAAGTCATTTGAAGCAACTGTAACCTGCTCCAAGTCCTGTTTTGGAGCTGATGTAACGCTCTCTCGTACTCTTTCCAGGGCTTATTTGAATCATTTTTTTCATAATGCTTCGAGGCCCTTTGTCCTTCAGGGATGGAAGGTTTTTAATCAGGCAAATTGTTCTGTTAGAAATGAAGCTATCTTAGAAGTTAGCCCTCGGGGATGGTTTTTGTGCAGGGAGGCTTAACTAAGATTTCTATAGCACTTTCTGGATGGAAAGACTGTGGAGCAGAGGGTTTGACTGATAGGTCCAAGGTTGCACAGAGAGCAGCAGAGGCAGAAGTCACTCAGCATGTTTGTCTCTGTAGGTCATACTCTGAGAGAAAGTTCAGGATCAAACAAGGCACTCGGACTATGGCTCAGCGAGAGCTGTAGTCTAGTTTCCAGGTTTGCTGGAATGAGCATCTGGGGTGGAAGGATGCACAGGTCTGAGTACGGCTTCTGGCGCAGCCTAGTAGTAACGCACACATGATGCTTGCGACATGGATGGATTGCTCCCTCTCTTTACTGATTTATTTTGAATTTTTCCTTAGATTACCTAAACCCAGTGGAAGAGAATCCATTTGTTTCTCGGCGAAAGAATGGAGATCTCCAAGCTGTGGACAACCCAGAGTATCACAACGCTCCGAACGGGCAGCCCAAAGCAGAGGACGAGTACGTGAATGAGCCATTGTACCTCAACACTTTTGCAAACACCTTGGAAAATGCCGAGTACCTGAAGAACAACTTGCCGGAGAAAGCCAAGAAGGCCTTTGACAACCCAGACTACTGGAATCACAGCCTGCCCCCACGAAGCACCCTCCAGCACCCGGACTACCTGCAAGAGTACAGCACAAAATACTTTTACAAACAAAATGGACGGATCCGGCCCATTGTGGCAGAGAATCCTGAATACCTCTCCGAGTTCTCCCTGAAGCCTGGCACTGTGCTGCCCCCGCCACCCTACAGACACCGAAATACAGTGGTGTAGTCACCGTGGTCGTATAGAAGTGGAAAGGCAACCCCTTCTAGCTGCCTCGCTCTCTCCCTCTACCTTTTCTCTATCTCCCTTGCCTCTCTCCCTGCCTCCCTTTCTCCCATGAGCTTCCTCCTCTTGCCCGTTCACTCATTTTTGATATTGCCAAGTGAAAGGATGTCTTGGAGTCGTTTGCAGATTGGGTTGGGAACCTGGAAGGAAGGGAGGAAGGAAGGTAAGAGACTGAAAGAAGGCGTGTACAACCTGGCGTTTCTCGCTTTCCGCAGATCCGAAGGGTCGGACAGTCGGAGAAGCCAGACCGTACCAGTAACGGCCAGTGGCAGGGGTTGCCCGCCTCACCCGC